GTCCTTGCCACGTTGAAGATCAGGATTCAGGATGGAAACAGCTGCTTGTGAGTTTCACAGTGGGTGACATTTGCTACCAAGACATTTCTTGCCACCAGAACCAGCTGTGTTTACCAGTGCAGATGACAGACTGGTTCTTCAGCAGCAATGTGGGCATATTTAGGGATGGGAGACCACTAAGAAAGCTCTGTCTAGTCTAGATTACAAATGTGTAAAGAGACAGCAGAGTATCCTTATTCAATTAATAAACAGAGCCTGGGGGTCTGATTTGGTAGCTTCTGAATAGTTTTATTCTGCATGTATTTGATCAGCTGCAAGTGCTTAGCATGCTGAGAGACAAGTTATGGAGCTGAAACTGGAATTAAGGGTGTTTTCCAGGGCGAATAGGAAGCCAGTGCCATTCCAGAAAGCACTTTCAGATGTGCAGGTGGCTAACCTGAGATAGGAGCCTACTAATATTTCACTGTCTCTGGAGCGTTAGGATATGCCAGCTACTCTCAAAGTGTATTTGCTTAGGAGCCCACACAAACAACAGTATCAGAAGCTTCCTTCTCTTAGCCATGCTGTGCACAAATTTGCTCAAGGTGCTTCAACAGCATTTGCCCGTCTCACTGAAGCATCTAGTGACGCATGTTTCCCCATTTGAGAAAATCTCGTGATCTCGTGATCATCTCGTGAATGGCTTCCCATGGCCACAAGCACAGATACTTGGCAAGCTCCTAGACCAGTGGAGCAGTCACTGCCCTGGTGTACGAGGGACAAGGAGAAATGCACTTTTGGAAAGAGAATCAGGGTATTCAAAGTGGAAAAGTCATCACCTTGCTTCATGAGGATATTTACAAAGGTCCTTAGAAAACTGTTGCCATTCATACCAAATGTGGGTGTTTGGGTAACTGAGTTCTGTTGTCAGCAGGATCCTGGCCAAATGATACAGTGTTACTTACATGAATGTACAAAGTGCAGCATCTAGACTCATTTAAAGCCCAGATGATCTTAACAAATGTGTTGTCTTACGGGCATTTGCCTGGAGTGCAGATGCAGTGAGGAGGTGAATTGTTTCCTCTTGTGCGTGCAGAGGAAGAGCAGCTCTGTGGCTGTGTAAAGAAATGCTAGCGTGGAAATTTGACCCCACAAAGGGATTTACTCTTGTCTTAGAGGCACAGAAGTGTGATTAGTGGTTGAGGTGTCTTCATGGGACTCTAGAAGAGAGTGACAACGAACCATGCCTTGTACTTGTGCTGAAGGTTGCCCCCAGCTATTCAGTGGGGATGGGATTGCAGGCTGTTGTAATCACACTGGTGCCGAGGAGCACCTTGGCGAAAGATGGATGTTTGACCTTCAATAAACCTTTAGTTTCACGTAATGTAATACAACAGCTACAAATGAGAGAGACAGGTCAGCATGAAATAGCCAGTGGCTTTTGAACCTCTGTAATAGCATGTTCCTTGGGCTGCTCTATCCTGGAAAATAAAGGCAGGCAGTTACAGTCCTTCAGGTTCTCTTGGCTTCTGTCTTCATTTTGTTCTTTCAGGCTGAGGGTTTTCTTTGGCTACTTTCTAGCCCCGCTGATACAGCCCCATGCTAAAACAAGCCCATACCACAAAGCTATTTTGCTTTACAGCACCTATGGTGTAAAGGGACAAACTTCCCTGGGGAAAGCATAAAGCCTCCAGATGACATGCAGGGTCAGTATGTTTGGACTGTTTAAATCAAGTGTAAGTCCATGCTTGTATTTGTGCTTCAGGCCACCCTACTTTAGCATGTCTCCACCACAACCAGAGGTGAATGCAGCAAGTAAATGCCAGGTACCAACATCAATATAACCACAGCCATGCTTTATTCCCCTCTATACCAGTGTAAATTAACCTCCGGCAGAGCTGTGCTGTGGTGCCTGCCTCCTTTTTGGAGAGTGGGCTTGGAAGTCTATTTTGCCCTGTGCAATCTAAGGCACAGGGGGTGTACTGGGACAAGATTGTGACCCATGTATGGTCCCTCCATGCTTCACCCATGGTCTCTGCTGCTCATGGTAGCTGGATTCCCCATTTCAGTACTCCAGCTGTGTCTCTAGGGAGTCAAGTGTGCATGGACTGGATCCATGTAAATGGCTTTAGTAATTGCTGACCTCCCCTCAGGAGGTGGCTGCTCTCCAGCACTGGATATTTGATCCCCTGTATACTGAGCATACATGAGACAAGACTCTGAAATCTTGCCTCACGGTCGTCCAGCAGCAGCCCCCAGTTTTGCCTCAATGGCTGGAGATGTTGCTAGCTGGAGCCCCCGGGATGCAGCCACCTACCCACACTGTGGCCGTGTCCTCACAGCTAAACTGGGACGTAACTCACAGTGCCAGCTGCACTGCAGAAAAGTAGCTCCTGCCTCGAACTGAGAGCAGGAAGGGTCCCAGGGTGCTTGGGGGAAGGAAATGGGCAATTTGAGTGTTACCTTTGGTGTGCCACAGCTCACTGTGAGAAATAAAGCCTTCCCTGTTTGTTGTGTGTGTGTGTGTGTTTTTTTTTTTAAACTATTAGAAGGGGCTTGGGTGATCTTCCATAGCCCACCTTGTTTTCTCCATGTTGGAGGATGAGTGGTTGCTCTAAGAGATAAGCCCTAGAAGGAAGGATATATCCTCTGTGGATAGCGGCTGGATGCAGGTGCAGGCAGCTGGACGAGTTCTGCAGTTTCACCCTCCTGGAGACCTAGTCCTCATTTTTCTACCTCTTTAATATTTGGAGCCACTTCTTACTTGTTTATCCCACTCAACCTTCTACAGACTATCTTCTGTGGTGAAGGCAGAGAGGAAGTTGATATATGTGCTCTTTTGTGTTTGCTTTTACCTTCAGATAAAAAGAAAATACTAACCATAATCTCTCCTTGTATTCTTCACCTGATTTACATTTCATTTATTTCTATAGCCCTGAACAGACATTAGTAACTCATAATAGTAATAATAGGAGTTTCTACTAATAGAACTCCTTCCATCTGTAGAGTTCACATTGTGGACAAGCACCATTAGTCCCATTTAGAGATGGATTTAGCTAGTGCAGCTTGTCCAAATGCAGAGGCTCTGGTGAGAATCAGGAAGAAAATGCAAAGTCTCCTGATTTCAGCCCCATGCTTAGCTCAGTTGACCTCGTTCTGCCATTTTGGGGAAAAAAAAAAATCATTTGAAAGACTAGATGTGAGGGATGCTCAAGAAGAAATTGAACCTCATCCCCAGAGACTGCTGATTTTCACAAGGTTGTCCCAAAGCAGCAAAAGGAGCAATGTCCTGAGCTTTGGCCTTTATACTCATCAGCATGAAAAAACCATGAGCGTGAAATCAAACAACAGGCTTCAAATGGGAGCTACAATGACTCTAATTTGTATGTACCATTATTTGATCTTCTAACCTACTAGGTTTAAGGTAAACCACAGTGGAATATCAAGCAGACATTAAATGAAACAGTGTCATTAATTCAATCCAGTGAGATATGTTTTATATAACAAAGGGATTTGTTCTGATACTCAAACAATGTATATTAATGAAAGAGTTGAAATAGATTCATTTTGTTCTCAAAGCAAACACATTAAGGAAAGCCATCAAGAAGTACAGAACACGGCATTTTTTTTTAAACTGTGCTTTATTTAGGGCTAAGCTGGAAAGCGTCATTCAATAATTACAGAAGATTACAAGGAGTTTTAGGGAATTGAGAGTGAAAGAGCAGTTGTATGGAACTGCAGCTGCGTTACACATCTGTATGTCCTAGCTGTGGGCTCAGTCTGGCTGTCCTTACTCGGGCAAAACACTCACTTCAACCCAGTGGGAGTCTGGCCAGACTAAGGACTGTAAGATCAGGCCCAGCAGGGAATTAAACAAAACAAAATAAATGAAATAAAACAACAACAACAACAAAAAAGAAAGAAGTTCAAGATCAAGATAAAAATACCAAGAAAAAAACAAAAGCATTAAAACAGAGTAAAACTAAATAATCAGAAACAATTGTCACACTGCTCAGTCAATGCAAACAAGTGTGAGAATGATGTAAATCAAACTTTAAGACTGTTAAAATAAATTACAATAAATATGATATATTTTAAAATATATGTGTTCTTAAATAATTCATTGTTTTTTCTGAGTCAGATTTTTTTAAAGCAATGTCTTATTTTTTAACTGCTCTAAAGTCATTTACCAAAGATAAATATCGTGCTTTCATTAAATAGTTTTCCTTGTTTTTCTCTATCATTACAATTAAAAGTCCTACAAAATATGCAAATTTATTTACAGAAGAACAGAGCCAGCATCTTTTTTTTATTTTTAAACATCCCCTTGTTTTTCAAAATTCCTTGTAAACAGTTTCAGAAATTCTTCAAAGAGATTTTTTTATGTTTTTTTTTGTTTTTTTATGTTATTTTTTTTCTTTTTTAAGATTTAGATTCTAGGCTAACCCCTTGCCCTGAAGGTTTCTAGAGCAAATATGGAAACTACTGAAGCATAGGATGATGGGAATTTTGCGGACAGCAGATCGTGAAGACATGAAGCGTTTAGCTGTGTTTTGTTGTTCAAGTTAGAACTGACATCTGATAAAAAGACAGCTGTTTTGTTTCCCATTTGCATTGT